AATAGAAATTCCATACAACCCAGCAAATTCTACTTCTGGGAATTTACCCCAAAGAAAATGCAATCACGAATCCAAAAAGATAATGTGCATCCCTATGTTTATTGCAGCATTATTTACAATAGCCAAAATATGGAAACAACCTAAATGTCCACCAATAGATGAATGGGCAAAAATAATGTTACATATATACAATGGACTATTTACTCAGCCATAAAAAAGAATGAAATTTTGCCATTTGCAGCAACATGTATGGACCTAGAGGGTATTATGTTAAGTGAAATAAATCAGGCAGAGAAAGAAAAATACCATATGATTTCATTTACACATGGAATCTGAAAAACAAACCAAATGAACAAACTAAGCTGAAATAGAATCATAAACACAGAGAACAGATTGGTGGTTGCGTAGGGGACGGGGGTGGGGGATGGGCAAAATAGGTGAAGGGGAAAATAATTAGTAAGAATGTTCAATGTCTTGATCTGGGCAATGGCCACATAAATACATAAATATGTCAAGTTCATCAAGCTGTACACTAAGATTTGTGCATTTTATTGTATATATCTCAATATAAAAAACTTTTAAATAGATAAATAAAAATGAAAAAATAAACTATTAAAAAAATAGAATGATGTAGAAAAATGTTCCTAAGTAAAAAGAAAACCCAAAAGATTTTTTTTTAAGGACTGATATATTCTACATGAAATGTGTTAGTGTTGGCAAAAAATATATATATATATATATATACCACTTAAATAGTCAAAGACAATTGACAAACTGTTAAAAAAAAAGTCCAACTCTGTTCACAGATAGAAGGCTAACTAATAGCTAAAGAGCTCCTACTAATCAATAAAAGGTCCACAAGCAAATTTCTAAAATGACAGAGTCTGAACAGGAAAATGAATTACAGAGGTCTGTTAAAGATAAGAAGTGCTTGACCTCATTCATAAAGAAATGAAAATTAAAACAATAGTGTTATCCTTTTTTACCAATTAGATGATATAAAATCAGTGGGTTTGGAAACATTATGTTGGCAATAATGTACAGTAACAGGCACTCCCCTCCATAGCTGGTGGAAATGTAAACTGATACAATCCCTATTTGAAAACAATGTGGTTTTCAAAATTATCAAAATTATTTTGATTTATCTATCAAAATTGTAAAGTATATATTCTTTCCCTCAGCAATTTCTTTTAAGACTTTATCCCACATATATACCAGCACACGTGTGAATGAGATGTATGCAGTTACTCTTTATAGCATTACTTATAAAAGCTATCTGTTGGAAATTTAAAAAATTATGAACTTAAGTTCATAGTAGGGAACTTAAAAAAAATTCTGACACATTCTTATAATTCAATACTGTATGGCTATTTAAAACAGAATCTCTAGGATACTACATATTGTTAGATGAAAAAGCTCAGAGTGTCAAAGAGTCTGCTTAGAATGTCAAGATTTGCTTTTTTAAAGAATAAGAAACATATACATGCGTTTTTGCATATGCATAGAATATGCCTGGCAGAAAATACAAGAAACCAGGTAGGGGGATAAGAATGGGAGACAGTCCCTCCCTCTACCATCAGCCCTTTTGAATATTTTTATTTTGTACCACACATACATTATTTATTTACAAATAAATGACTAAATGTTAAAAAGGGGGGAAATGATATGATACCTGACTACACGGCATTTGAGTTCTAAGCGGGATGGCTCAGAATTATTCAGTGCCCCCCACCCTGAACCCCCCATCTCCACCCCACTGCCACGGTTCAAGACCCATTTCTCTGATTCTTGAGGATTTAAAAACCAGTCCTGTAGCTTTGGGACCTGCCAGTTGGTCGGCTCTCTGGGTATTTAACCGAAGCTTCATCAGTTCTGAGGTCACTAGGGTATTACTGACTGTTGAGACCAAGGATCTATAGAAATAAGGGGCTTTGACTAGGAATTTCAGAAGGGATTGCAGGAAAACAGCGGGGCTGGGGACCCGTGAAGCCCGATTGCCCACTCACTGCTCTCTCCCTTCAGTCTCTGCCTGCTCCGCCGCCCGCTCTCCCCCTCCCCTGCTGGGAGCTGCCTGTGAAGAGCAAATCCACACACGGGTGACAGCCGTGTCCCTTCTCCCCGGCAGCGAACATCATTTAGTGGGTTTTGTTGGTTTTAAGATCCATTGTCTCCTGAAATTGAATTTGCCATGTGCCATAAGCTTATATGGGGCTTGATGGAACAGAAGTCAGTGAAGGCAGCAGAATCTCCACACAGGCCTGAGCGGATCAGTCGATCTTAATAACCCTGCGAATGGTCAGAAAGAGAGGCCTAAAGTGAATGAAGACAGGCAGCCTAGCTGGGAACACGGGGGGAATATTTTTAAATGTTCTCTGCTTTTTTTCTTACGTTATTAGAATCCAGTGCATGCTTTTCTTAATGGAATTTAATCCTCAGGACTGTTAAATTTTTTTCTCTCTCTCTCAGAGCTGCCATCAGCTCTGGTAAAGAAGAAAACATGCTTCCCACAGAGCAGAGAGGCAGGCACAGGGACCGGGCGGCTCAGGGGAGCTTGGGAGAATGCCACAGGCCACCCTCCCTTAACCTCCACTGGGTTCTCATCTCAGGAGAAGAGCAACTAGATCGACTAGGAATAAGCTTTCCTAGAGAAACTGGTTTTTGTCTGTTCCTGAGATTCAAGGGCAGGTGTACTCCTGAGATGGTTTGCAGAAAATATAAAAATAAACTTATCTCCTCATCCCTTGCACAAAATACCTACTAAGCACACATTGAACATTGGCAACTGAAAGAGAGGAGGCCTGGGGCTCAAATAAATGTAGGGCCCATCCCTGCCCAGCCCAGTTGGTGAGATATAAAGAGCACACAGGAAAAGAACCGGAGAGGGCATGAGTTTGCACTTGATTCTTAATTGACTCCACACATCCACGCTCAGTGGGGTGGGGGTGGGGTTGCTGGGCATCAGGCCCTGCTGGAAGGGACTCTGAGAGGAGCCTGCACCCGTGGGCCTGTGCCAGCAGCACGGCCTCCCTCCACCAGGCTGCAGTGCGGTGTTCTGAATGAGCTCTGTGTCCCCTTGAAGCCCTGAGACACAAGAGGGAGCTGAGGGTCCCTGAGAGTAGCGCATTGTTTCTCAGCGTGCCGGGGGCGCCGGGGGTGTCAGCTGCTAAGTCACATCCGCAGGCCCCCTCGAGTGAGCGCTGGTTCCAGACCAGGCTGTCAACTGTAGGGAGAGTGATGGCGAGGGACAGCTGTACCTTCCTTCTCCAGTCGTCTGGATTTCTGAGGACTGAAACCCCAGCGGTTGTGCATTTGATCTTCCTTCTTACATAACACAAGAGGTAAAATCTGCCACTTCCAGAACTACAGTGGGATTTGGAGAAGGGAAAGGCCAGGGAGGGCTGGGGACCTTGTGGGAGACCGTCTGGGAAGGAGTAGGGGTCTGAGCTGGACCCAGGAGCTAAAGAGAGAGGCCAGGGAAGGGCATTTGAGGCTGAGCCATGTGAACCCTTTGCGACTGAGATGGGCTTTGCCGAGAGGCGAGCTGGAGAGGGCCCGAGGGAACCCTCTGTGATGGCGAGGACCAGAGAGGGCTGACACGTGAGCCACCGCTGCAGACCCTGGGCTTCCATTCCTTGGAAAGGTCGTTTCCATTCCGAATTCTCAAAGTCCCAGTGATTCACACCTACTGGTGAACATCTGGACCCCAGGCCGTAGCAGTCAGATGGAGCAGAATTACAATTGGCTGCACCACTTCCGCTCTGTGTCATTAACAAGTCACCCAATTCTTCTGATCCATAAAGTGAATATCTTAATATCTACCTTGCAGGGATTTTGTTCAGTTCCGATATAATTTATGCAAAGGGTATGATGCATAGTAGGACCTCCCGAATGGTAGTCACTATTATTAGGGCAGGTTAGTGTATTCTTCAAAATGAGACGGGGAAGAGAAACCAGGCTCCCTGGACACCATCTGGCTCTGCTCTCATGAAAGGAGGAGTCCAATACATACCATGTGCCCGGGGCCTGGACGTTCTGGGCCACAAATGTAATTAATATGCAAATATTGGATTGATTAATAGGTTTACTTGTAGGTTTGGGTATTTATTGTCACATCACTTTATTACTGTCATCAAACTTATCAGTGAATTATGTGACCAACAGTCTTGTAGGGTGGGAAGTACATAAATTATAAAATTTGAATTCATAGAAACCAGGAAGAAAATCCCACGTCAGATTATGCAAAGTTGTTTTTGCTTTGAACTGCAATCCATCTAGTCATAATTCTGGTATTTTCTTAACATGCAATCAGGGTTTCTAATGATCACCGCCACTAGAACACTGCCAGCTTCCCAAAGGCTTGGAGTGCAGCTGCTGACACCAGTTGCCCAAGCCTGGGGCCAGGACGGAGACGCTTCTGAAACCCACGGGTGTAGGATGCTGAGGGCTGGTGTCCTCCATCTAGAGGCTTGTGGCCTGAAACGTGGGTCCTGGGCCTTGCTAGCTTTACCGTAGGACGAAGCAGGTGTGATCCTTTAGTTTCATGTCCATAAGGGTTGAAAAGCACTTACAAATCACAAACAGACCGGGTTGCTCGGGGCTGCATTCTGCCTTTTGTGAGGCCCAGGTACGTTTGGCTTTCGTAGCAAAGCCACGTGACCCCTTCCTCCTTTAAAAATATTTAAATTTACATTTTATTAATGATTGTATCGATGAATATATGACATATTCATAATATCTGTCATGTATGGGAAAGCTCATACAGTACAGCCACATATGATACATATATATATATATGGGTGATAAAATGATGACTATAGTCATACTGTACATGAAAACATTTTCTTTGACTGGACAGTTCATTCTTTCTCTGATTTTAAAAGAAATTAAGACAGTTTTGTTGGTCCTAGGTACTCTGTCTACCCGTGCTCGCTGGACACTTTGACCTTGATGTGGTAAAAGTTAGATGAGAAAGGTGACGGCAGGGAAGAAACAATCGGAAATACGAGGAAAAAGAGCATCCCCGAGGCCCGCCGGGTGGTGGGTCAGAGAAAGCGGCCAGTAGCAGAGCCATATTTGGTCAAGGTCTCACTTTCTCAGAGGTTAAAATCTGCAGGTCTTGAGAATTTGCTCATTTTACATTCAGGCTGACTACAGTTTAATGCAAAGCACCACAGTGATCACTTTTCAGGAGAAAACGTTTTCCTGATGACATTGCACTTGGGTACCTGACACTGGTATTCCGGAGTGTTCGCTGCTGCATGCGATCTGAGTTCCAGCTGAATTGTCAGATGGCGACTTTGTTCTTGACTTGGAAGCTTCCACGTAACGGTCCCGGCTCTGTCGGCCCCCCTCCTTTCCAGGGACCTTGAGGTGTGTTTGGAAGCTGGCAGTCCCTGCCGGCAGACGTAGGAAGGGCTCCACAAAGAGTTGGGAGAATTATGGGAAAGTTCAACAGCACAGTCAGAAATCTCACCCTTCACCTGGCCCCAGACCCGTGCTCTTCTGGCCTGAGATGCAAACACAAGCAACACGCCTGGCACTCTCACCTGCCGGAGTCACCAGGACCTCCCCGGATAAGTATTTAGCAAACCTACAATGTGGGCACCCCCCAACCCACCCCTACGTAGGAGGAGGGCTGCCCTTTGAGGGACTCCCCACCATCGTGTTGTGAAGCTCAGTTACTTTTCCAACAATCTTGTGTTAATAGGCAACAGGCTCCCCACCACATGCAAACCCAAACGGAACAGGGTAGCTGCTCCCTCTAGGGAAGGAAGCTGTGCTTCCAACATACATGACGGCTGTAGTTTCCGCTCATAGGAAATGGTGCTCGTGCCCTGGGCCGTTTACTTCAGTGTCAGGACCTGCTCTGAATTGTTTCCCGTTTCTGGAGATAAAGTTGCACTGACTTAAGCCTCGTTTAGCCAGTTCCCTCTCTGGCCACCTATTGCCTCCGGATTGTTTTCCTGTAAGGAGGACTAGTACTTTTTCAGCACTTACTATTCACTTAGCTTGGTTCTTTTCCGCGCATTCTCTCATTCAGTCCTCACACCTCCCGGGGCGGAAGTAATCGTCCTTTGTAGATGAGGAAATTGAGGCTTAGAAAGATAAGGAAATTGGAAGAACTCAACCATAAAAATGAGAGGAAACAAAAATATGAAAAACTAAATGTACCAGACAGTTAAGGATATGATTTTACTCAGGCTGAAAAATAAATTTATTCATTGATTCTTTCTCATTGCAATAAGGAGAATGTTCATTAATGGAAAGCACGGCAGCCTAGGTTTTATAGATAAACAAGAAAGTCGTCTCTGAGGCTCGTGGGACTCATGAGGAGGGATGGAGATGGCTGTTGGAATACGCAAGGGTGAGCTGGTCCTTCGTGGTGAGGGGCTCCTGGGACACGAAAGGTCGGGGGATTTCTTAACGGTTGTAACTTTCCGGGAACACAAGTCTCAGGAGACGTTCCACATCGTCAGTCCCCCACTTATGTTCACGATGAGTATCATTCATTGCTACACAACTTGGAGGTGGCAGTAAGCCCCCTGTGAGGGTGAAGTCGGGTCTAAGAAATAGCCTCCTGGAAGTGAAAAGATCAGTTGTTTTGGGGTTCTGGAGATCAGGGATCTTACGTGAAGGGCACCTGAAATGAAAAGGGGAAATATTAACATTAAAGATTATATTAAAGAGCTGGATGCTGAATTCTGAGAATAAGCAGTCCAGGGGATTCCAAGAGACTGGTAGAGGAAATTCTCGGTTCTTCAGTACAACTCTGCATTGCTGGAAGCTCTCCATGCTCTGTGCTGTTGGTCACTGTATCAGTTACCTCTTAGGAAGGAGAATGTATGACCTGACGTTCCGCTGGACTCCCTTCGTGGTGCAGACGCAGCTTGCTGGGGGGAATTCTGGCCTTTGAATGGTCTGCTGCAGTGGTGAGCCGTCGGAGGCTTGCGTCACATAGTCGGGCTTCAGCTTGCAGGGCTTGTTCGGGTCCTAGGGGAAAGGGCCCGTGGCAAGGATCTGGGGAGTGAGGTTTCAGTTCTCGGTGATGCCCAGTCAGGTGGGAGGGAGAAAAATTAGAAAAGTTTGGAGGATTGTAGCCAGATGTTGAAGAAAACGAACAGGATCAAAAAAATTTGGTAAAGATTGACAGTTTGGCCAAGGTAGTAGGATCCAGTCCAGTTTTGGTGCCCAGCACATGGTTTGTCCAGGAGGGGAGATGGGAAGTCAATTAAATCTCTACCAGACAAGACAGAGTTTGCATATATACCAGGTACCTGCAATTTTCAAAAATGAAAGATTTGGTGAATATTCATGCAAGAGTAATGTATCTGACAAAGGAATTTGTGTGCAAAAAAAGATGAATTTCAATCCAAAAAAGGTTTAGACAAAATATCCATGAATATATTGATTAACTCTATTTTTAAGAGTTTATTATGTGTAATTTATAGGATCGGATGAACACAATCTTTACAGAACCTTAATATTTAACATATTGTAATCCTAAGACACAGTATACCATGGAGATCTCAAGCATACAGTCAGCAAACACCAGTATATCATGAATACTAAGTGAAGAGGTTCTGTAAGCCTGTAGTAGGTTCTAAGTTTCTGTATGTTAATAAAATGCCATAGATAAGAAAACTCTTGAAAGTTACTGTCCTAGAAGATGCTAGATTCAAATTAAAGAAATAAAATTGTAATAAAAGCAACTTTTTTTTAATAATGAAAATATGACTGACACCACACGGTTGTTGCCTAATATAAAGCAAAGCATTATCAGAACTCTGGTAAATCAACACATATCATAGACAGTGAGGGCACTGACAGGTCTCTAGGGATTTCCCATAGTACATACAACTCTGAAATATTTATGTTAATAACATTACCCACAGTACCTAAGGAAAGATTTGATACCTCTTTGCTTTCAATTCATCAACAGAAACATATCACATGAACCTTATCATTTCTATCATCTTTCTTTTTACAGAGAGAAAGAACTAATCCTCTCTTATTTTCCAGGGGCCCTTTGGGAAATCTCAAAGACAGTTTTAGGTGCAAAAGATACTTAGAATTGGATTTTGGAAAGGCAAAAATTGAAAGATACTAGGGGATCTGAATACCTAAGATAGAGATTGGATCATGGGTGCCTGAGACAACATATTTCTTCTCATTTCAAAGTGACAATAAAACATATAAAATACACACAAAAGTAGTATGAGCTAAGAAACCCTAACTCTCGCCTAAGTGGGAAGTTTTGTTTTCTTAAATCATCAAGGATGTAATAAAATGAGCACAAACCACAAAGGTTATTCTGTTAAGCCACAGAATCTTTACTATCCCAGCAGTTAAACAGAAGGTAAAGAATAACAGTTCATATTAAAAGCAGACCAATCATCCAAGAAAATTTTGTCATTTTCACAAAACCTCTTGTTTTGCATCCACGTACTTCATATTAAAGTCCTTTTTGAAATCTTGTAAATAAACCCATCAAACCTTAGCTGGCTTTGACAGCAACAAATAAAATTTCCTCTCCACAAGTTTTCCATAAGCTTTTATATCCATTCAGGTTTGGTCTCCCTCTCGTCTCCTTCTCATTCGGCAATAACCAGTCGTTTTAGTTTAAGAAGGAGCTCCTTTCCGCCTTTACTAAGGGAAGCTCCTTTCCGCCTTTACTAAGACATCCTGTCTACTCTGCATACAAGGGTGTTGCTCTCTGCCATCTCATTCACATATGTTGATGATGACTTTTAACCACAGTCACTTCCATTCCACAGAGAAAATGTGGAGTCTTGTGACGGTGACCCGTGTCACACACAGCATTTTGCAGCAGATAGCAGAGCCCATGACTTCCAACAGCCGCATGCATCCCTCGGAGGACAGTGTCCCAAAGCGGCAAAAATCAACGTGCTCATTAACAGACTCAGAATACATAGCCTCCTGCAGCATATAAAAATAGGAGACAAACATACATAAACCTAAAATGATGATTAGTAATTAATGTTTCAATACTCTATTACTTAGAGATGATGTATGCATCCAATGAGTATCCACTAATTCAGTCAGTTTAGTAGAAGTCCAAGGTTTTATGTTACTAAAGACCTTGGAAATTACCTTCAACCTCACAAACTATAAAACATAGTCATTATTGACATAAAGCTTCCGAGTACAGGCATACCTCAGAGAGGTTGTAGGTTTGGGTCTAGACCACCACAATACAATGAATATTGCAATAAAGTGAGCCAAATGAGTTTTTCCATTTCACAGTGTACATAGAAGTGATGTTTACACACCATGTTATAGTCTATTTAGGGTGCGATAGCATTTTGACTAAAAAAAAGCAATATAGCTACCCTAATTAAAGTACTTTATTGCTAAAAAATGCTCACCATCACCTGGACTTTCAGTGAGTCCTAATCTTTTTGCTGGTGGAGGGTCCAGCCTCCATGCTGACGGCTGCTGACTGATCGGGGTGGTGGCTGCTGACATTTGGGGTGGCTATTACTTAAAATAAGACAGCAGGAAGTTTGCTGTTTCAAATGGCTCTTCCTTTCACCACCAATTTCCCTGCAGCCTGCCATGCTGTTTGATAGCATTTTACTCACAGTAGAGCTTCTTCCAAAATCGGAGTCCATCCTCTCAAAGGCTGCTCTGCTTTGTTGACTAAGTTTGTGTGGCGTTCTACCTTCTCTGTCATGTCAGCAGTCTTCACAGCATCGTCCCCGGGAGTAGATTCACTTTCTTTCTCATCCATAAAAGCAACTCCCCACCCATTACGGTCCTGTCATGAGAAGCAGCCACTGAGCCCCATCTTCAGGCCCCGCCTCTCTTGCTGTTCCCGCCCCATCATCGGTGGCTTCCTCCTCTGAAGATCTGAACCTCAGAGTCGTCTGTGAGGGCTGGACTCTTCTTCCAAACTCCTGTTAATGTGGATGTTTTGAGCTCTTCCTAGGAATCACAAATATTCTTAATGGTATCTGGAAGAGTAAATCTTTTCCAGAAGGTTTTCCATTTACTTTGCCCAGACCCAGGAGAATCATGATCTTTGGCAGCTACAGCCTTGCAAAATATATTTCTTGAAATAATACATCTTAAAAGTCAAAATTCCTCCTTCATCCATGGGCTGCACAATGGATGTTGTGTTCGCAGGCATGAAAACAACATGAATCCTGTGGTACATCTGTCAGACCTCTTGGTGACCTTGTCAATAGCACTCACATTTTGGATGGAATATTGCTTTCTGAGCAGTAGTTCTCAAAGGTGGGTTTAAAATATTCAGTAAACCATGTTGTAAACAGATGTGCTGTCATCTAGGCTCTGATAGTCCATTTCCAGAGCACAGGCACAGTAGACGTAGCATGATCACTGAGGCCCTGGGATTTTCGGGATGGTAGATGAGCGCTGGCTTCGACTTACAGTCACCAGACGCATTGGCCCCTAGCAAGAGAATCAGCCTGTCCTTTGAGGCTTTGAAGCCAGGCACTGACTTTCTCTCTGGCTATGAAAGTCCTGGATGGCATCTCCCTCCAATATAAGGCTGTTTTGTCTGCATTAAAAGTCTGTTGTGTAGTGTAGCCGCCTTCATTAATGGTCAGAGCCAGATCTTATGGATAAGTTGCTGCAGCTTCTCCTTCAGCACCTACTGCTTCACCTTGCAATTGTGCGTTGCAGAGATGGCTTCTTTCCGTAAACCGCTTGAGCCGTCCTCTCTCTTTGAAGTATCTTCAAACTTTCCCCCTGCAGTTTCCTCCCCTCTCTCTGCCTTCAGACTTGAAGAGGGTTAGGGCCGTGATCTAGATGAGGCTTTGGCTTAAGGAAATGCCTCTGATTTGACCTTCTGTCCAGACCACTGTAACCTTCTCCGTATCAGCGACGGTGACGCCGGCGATGACCAGACCCTTCCGCCTGTCCACCGGGTCGTGTCTCCACAAACCTCCACACCATTCTGCACGACGACCTGCGGGTGCAGCACAGACCTCCACAAACCACACAACCGCACAGAACAAAATGCAGGCACACGAAGGAATACAAGGAAAACGTGAAAAATTTTATGAAACAAAAGCAAGAGGGAGGAGGCGAATGCTGGGGGACAGCTGGCGGTCTCCCCTGAAGTACGGTACTGTTCTGTGTAAGGGTTAGAGATGGAGGTATTTTCTTACCACTCTGACCCCCCTTCTGCCCATTTCTTCTGAAATTTGCTACAAGGCCTGAGAACACCAGCATGTGACAGCGTCTCTCCCACAGTCCCAAAAAAGGAGAAGAGATGTGAGTAGCAGCTGTGTCTTCACCAGTTAAATAAGGAATTTTTATTATCCCATAAGAATTCCCCGTGAAATGATTAGAGAATTAGAGATTAACTCCCCCTTTTTGCCAGATAACAAAATAATAAGCTGAACACTTGAGGGCTTTAACGGAGCAAATAACAATGAGGTTGTTTTCCTCTTTGTAAAATTTGGGTGCATGAATCATTTAAATTGCCAGAGGGATTCTTGCAAGTGGCAAACAAACTCTTTTAATCATCTGAGCTTTCTGAGGAAACACGATTCGGATAACAATGCATGGAAAGGTGGGAATTAAAGTCTGGATGGCCAGACTGAAAAGATGTCTTGTGGCCTGGAATGTGGATTCGTAAGAGTTAGCCCTGGGGCCCCCTTTGCTGCCCAGAACGGGCCATTCAGCTGCCCATCCGCTGACGTGGAGTATTTTCCTCTGAATTCCAGTGGGGCATAAAGGGGGTCAGGAATCTCTGTGCAAGGCTCCCTGCAGGGGGATGATAGTTGAGGGCATTGCCTGAGATGAACACGGGTGCTAGACTCATGCAGGGAGCCTAACCGGAGGGCCCAGGGGCAGAGACGGGCTCCGCAGGCTCTAGAGTGCTATCTTCTGCTCCGTGGCTTCTTCCCGACTCTGAGGCACCCCTGGTGCTCCGTACCTCTGACGTCCAGACAGGTTCCTCAAGGGGAGCCAGATTAGAGGGCAGTCCTCTCTCTTAATGAAAGTGCATTTATCCATGAGTGCACCTGGGAAGAGGCTCCAACCCCGGGGCCCAAACGAGGGAGGCCACCGCTCAGGTCCCACCTTACGGAACATTTATTCACGCACCCACGAGGATTTACCGGGCGTCAACTACATGATAGGCCTCATGGGACGGGCTAGATGGGGCAAATCCCAGGGTAACCCTCACCCCTGACATCACCAACTCTCTCACCTCCCCGTCCCCAGAGGCCGTGAAAGCTTGAGGGTGACTGGGTGGCTGGTACCTTTGCGGACAGTAAGA